AGGGCCGAAGGGCCTGTACTGCGCTGTAATGTTCTATGTTCTATGTTAAGTCAGGGTGGTGAGTGGCTTGGAGGGGAACTTGCAGCTGGTCGTGTTCCCACGTATCTGCTGCCCTTGTCCTTCTACATGGAAGTGAATGTTGAGATTGGAAGGTACTGTTTAAGGATTTTTGGTGATTTTCTGCAGCGCATCCTGTAGATAGTACACTCTGCTGCTACTGAATGTCAATGGTGGAGAGAGTGGATGCTTGTGGATGTAGTACCAATCAAGCAGGCTGCTTTGTCCTGAATGGTGTTGTTGGGGCTACACTCATCAGGCAAGTGGGGAGTATTCCATCACGTTCCTGACTTGTGCTGTGTAGGTGGTGGACAAGCTTTGGGGAGTCAGGAGATGAGTTACTTGTTGCAGTATTCCTAGTCTCATGATAGGGATGATAAGTGGCAAGTAGCATTTTGCTTCTCCTTTCGCTTTCTAGGATGCGAAAAAACATTCCAATAATAGTTATAAAACAGTAGATGGGAGAGTGAGTGGAACTTGGTGAAAATACAAATCTACAGTGAAGTGGTACTGAGCAAACTGATGGAACTGTGAGCTAATAAGTTCTCAGGTCCTGATAGATTTCATTTTAGGCTGTTAAAAGAAGTGACGAGTAAGGTAGTAGAAACATTGGTGTTAATGTTACAACATTTTCAAGATTCTGGAATGGTGCCATCAGACTGTAAGTTAGCAAATATAATCAATCTGGTCAAGAAGGGGAGAACATAAAAAACAACACATTTGGCTTGACATTTGTTGTGCAGAAGGCATTAGAATTGATCACAAAGAAGACCATTACTGCACACTTCGAGAAAAGCAAGGCAATATGGTGGAGTCAGCATAGATTTGTGAAAGGAAAATCATGTTTAACCAGTTTATCTGAGTTATTTGAACATGTTTGTGGACAAAGGGGAGGCTGTGGATTTCTGGATTTCTAGAATGGATTTCTAGAAGGCATTTGTGAAGGGGCCATGTGAAATGTTATTGCACAGAGCAGGGACTCAAAGTGTAGAGGGTTACATGTTAGCATGGATAGAAGACTAGCTGGCTCACAGAAAACAGAGATTACTCATAAATGGGGGATAGCAAGAACTGCAGATGCTGGAGTCAGACAACACAGTGTGGCGCTGGAAGAACACAGCAGGCCAGGCAGCATCAGAGGAGTCAAAACTACCTGAAACTTCAACTTTCCTGCTCCTCTGATGCTGCTTGGCCTGCTATGTTCTTCCAGCTCCACACTGTATTTACTCATGAATGGGTCTTTTTTCAAATTGGCAGGATCTGGCAAGTGGAGTCCCACAGAGATCTATGTTGTGGTCTCAGCTTTTACAATTTATATCAATGACTTTAATGAAGGGCATAAAGACATGGTTGTTAATCTTACAGATGACACAAGGATAGGTAGGAACGTATATTCCTAAAAGGATATAGGGAGGATGTGGATGGATATAAATAGGTTGAATGAATGGATAAAAGTCTAACTGATGGACTGTAATCTGAGAATATGTAAAGTTGTTCTCTTTTTATTTAAAGAGAGAATGAGTTACGAGTTCTAGGTATTCTAGTGTGTGCATTATAAGAAGTTAGTATGCAGGTGCAGCAAGTAATGAAGGCTAATGGAATGTTGTTCTTTATTACATGCTAAATTGAACACATAAGTAAGGATGTTGCTTTAGTTTTATAGGGAACTGGAGAGACTACAATTCAAACATTGTATACAGTTTTAGTCTCCTTATTTGATGAAGGATGAATTGGAGGTGGTTCAGAGGAAGTTTGTTAGATTGGCACCTGGAATGAGCAGTTTTATGTGGATATGTTGCACAGACTAGGCTTGTTTCCGCTGGAATTTAGAAGAATGACCTGGACTAAGTATATACGACCCAGAATGGTTTGACACGCTTGAGATGGAAAGGATGTTTCCTCTTGTGTGTGAGTTCAAAACTAGGAGGCACTATTTGAAAATTAAGTAAAATCTTCTTAAGATGTAGATGAGTTTTTTTTCCCTGTCAAATGGTTTTGGGATGCTGCCTTAGAAGGTGATGGATCATTTAAAACTTATAAGGCAGATATGGATAGATTCCTTGAAGGCAAGGGAATAATTGATCATGGGCTGAGCTGGGTGTGATAGTTGGGAAGGCAGAATTCAGTGCACAAACAGAGAAACCATGAATTAATTAAATATCAAAATAGGCTTGAGTGGCTGATAATCTATTTCTGCTCCTAATTTGTGTGTTTTTCAAGTCTCATTTGACAGGTACTGAAAGAGGCTAAATAAAAACCGAAGTTGCTGGAAAAGCTCAGCAGCTCTGGCAGCATCTGTGAAGAAAAAATCAAAGTGAACATTTTGGGTCCAGTTACCCAGAACTGAAGAAGGGTCACCGGTCCCGAAGCGTTAACTCTGATTTTTTTCTTCACAGACATGCCAGACCTGCTGAGCTTTTCCAGCAACTTCTGTTTTTGTTACTGAGAGAGGCTAAGTGCATAATATAAGTGAGAGAGTAGGATGCCAGGAGGGTAGAGATGGTAGGTTTTCAGGTGGATTATTGGTTCAGATACCAGGCAGGAGAGAAATATCAGGTGGTTAGGGAAAAAGTATGCCAGGTGGGTGACAAATAGATGGAGGATAGAGTGACACATGGGTGCATGGTGTAGCTGCCAGTTAGGTGAGGGTACAAATGGCAGGTAGGTGTGAGATTAAAGTGATAGGCAAGTGGGAGAGGGTTAGGGTACATCAGGGAAGCTAGATTGAGGAGGCTGGGGCTGTAGGGCTAGTCTGGACAGTTGGGGTACCAATGTAGGAATCAGGGTAGTGGGATATGAGAGCTGGAAATCGGTTTTGTCAAGGTTGAGGTTGAGGGAGAGGTAGTGGATTGAGTCCAGCAGTATTTCAGATTGGTGAATCCAGTGCAAAGGAGAGCAGTCCAGAGGATAGTTCTGGATGGCAGTCAGTAGTGAGTCAGTGGGTGATGAGGAGAAGGGTTAATTGGGACTATTCTCCTTGGAGAGAAGGAGGCTGAGAAGATATCTGATAGAGGTTTATTAAAATCATGAGCAGACTGCACAGAGTAGAATGGGAGAGGCAGTTCAGGGTTGTAAAAGGAGCAAGAATGAAAGGGCAAAGATTTAAAGTGATGTGCAAAAGAAGCAAAGGTCATGTGAGAGAAAAAAAGACTTTTCTGCTCAAGGAGTAGTGAGGGCATGGAATGCACTGCCTGGATCAGGCAGGTTCAATTGAAACGTTCGAGGGCATTGGATGATTTTTAGACAGAAATAGTTTGCAGGTTGTGGGGAAAATGTAGGAGATTGGCAGTGGGTAATGAAGCTCATTTTCAGAGCTGGTGTAGGCATAATGGGCCGAATGGCTTTCTTTTGCACCGTGACAATTCTGTGTTCCTGTAATTCTCCAACTACTGTCTTCCATCGGAACGTCTGAGCCCCTGGTAACGGCTGAACATTGGTGGTGAGAGCAGAGAAAGTGGAACCTTAACGGTCAATGCTTGAAGTTCGAGGAATGTTTGGAAAAGGAGTTAATGTGTCAGTTTAAAGCAGGAAGGCAGCGAGAAACCACCTGGTGTATCCTTTACTCAGTAACTGTCTTCAGCGGTCATGGAGACTGGAATTGTAAGGTTCTTCAAACAACTGAAGGTAAAAGCGAAGGAACGCTGGCTGAATTGAGCAGAGAAAGTGACCCGGGAAATAACAAGGCAACCCAACTTTATGAACTGGGGCGGAATGTGCACAACAGGAACACGAACGGGTCCGATTTTAACTCTGCGTTAGTGAGTGACTTTTGAATAAGACAAAGCCTCGCCCACCTACAGAAATGCCTCAAATATCCCCCAGCTATCAGCTGGAGCGAAGGGTTGGAGGAGGGGGCAGCTGCTGTTTGCTTTTAACTGGGAACCAGAAAGGAAAAGGGAGCTGCAGATGCTGGAGAATCCGAGACAACAAGGTGCAGGGCTGGATGAACACAGCAGGCTTGGCGGAACTTCTTCAAAGTCAGAAGTGAGAGTGAATGCCAGCACATGGCGTATCTGCCTCACCGTGTCCTGAGGACTCATGACGTTTGGACATGTCGATACTGACGTGGGGACTGTTTTTAAGAGTGGAGATGCACAAGCAGTGAAAGTTCACCAGGATCTGAGTTGCCTAGTTGATATCGTGTGGACCAGCATGCTGGGTTTCAATCTGTGTCAGTGCCGAGGAGGAGAAAGAGCGCCGCGTAGAATCAGTATGAAGCACCCTCACTGCGTGCTCGCACTGTCACTGTTCCTGCTCTCCAGCTCCTGTTTCTCACAAGGTACCAGTGTTAACTTTCAACCTCTCCGCCTCCTCCTCTCCTTTGTTCTTTCCTCGTTATATTTCTGCCAGCATTGTCTTACTTGTTTCCAGTCAAAGTGTTATTTTTTTTAAATTCTTTTAAGCTTCTGTTTTTTTCTATTCTTTTAATCGCTGGTCGTTTTACCCCGTGTAAAAAAAAAACGTCTATTATCGTTAATTTCACTGCTAAGTTTTAAAGGAAGAGTTTGGTTTACTTATACAAATAAACAACACCTACTTCGACATAAGTAATCACATTGCTTAAGAAAGTGCAATCTTGTACAACGTTTGATATCTATTAAGATTTGTGAGACTGGCCGCGGTCCCTGAGATCTCTGCAGACTAGATAACCTCTCAGATGAAAATGGGGATTTTCATTTTTCCCTGCTTTTGTAGAGTTTGACATTGATACACCTTGAGCTGATCTTTCAATAGTTTCACCAATGAGCTAATGTTGGAATTGAAGTGAAACTCTTTTCATCAACCTGCTTCAGGGAATATCCAGAAGTCCCTGCTCTGTGTTCTGAGAGTTGGTCTTGGGATAGTGTGTGATGGTTTTTAGCTGAAATGTCAGCAAGGTTGAAAAGTGCAGATGAACAGCACAGAAAATCAGCATTGATACTTGACTGTTCAAATAGATGCAGTAAATAGTGTATTTTGGAAGATGTACTCATTAAAAAAAAGTATTAAATTCTCTTACAAAATCATATCCTTATTTTCCCCCATAGCCTGTCCTGCAGCTCCAGAGAGAAAGAAGCTAGATATGCACTAAAAACACTGCAGCATCACTTAAATTCTGTGATTTGGGATGGAGTATGTTGGAAAAAAATGGACATTTATTTCTTTATTGATATTCCAATTACATTTCTGTAACGTCTCAAATGTTTTATTGAGATTAGTCTTCATCTTCTATAGAGAATGAATCTAATTAGCTCTTAGGAAAGCAATGAAGCTGATTATTACAACAGAAGTCCAATATGACCAATCTTTAATGATGTAGCTGAGGATAGAGATGCTGCAGCTTTGCATATTTACTTAGCAGGAAAGAAATATTCACTTTATTCAATGCCATTGATTCTTGGCGTTCGTAAATGCTGATTCAATTCAAATAAAATGGGACATACTATACGATAGCTATTCTTACTTAATGTTATATTCCTTACAGCTGGGTACAGCATTTGAAGAGTGTGCAGGTAGAGACAATAAACATGTAATAAAGACAGAGCTTTGCTTAGTAATAGGATCATAAAACTTGTTTGTTCAGGAATTACTTGCATGTTTAGAGTTATGAACTGTGATGTACAGAGGCAAATGATTATACGATTGCATGGAATAGGAAAAAATTAAACTATGGCATTATTGAATTGAAGTGATCTTAGAATGATATGATGTCTCAGTATATTGCTGATTCAATAAAAATATTAAAGCAAAATTACAAACAACTTACAAGATAAAGTGACAATGAAAGTGTAAAATGAAAATTGCAATTTCCAATCATTATTATACATAGTCGTTTTTACTATACTATTTGAGTTGTGTTAAACATTTAATATTTTGATTTTACTAGAGACCTATGTGATAGTTACTTTCATCTTCTTCACCCAAAATTAAAACATCTTTTTCTGTTTTAAATGATACACAACAAATGGAAACAAGCTGTTATATTTATATCTGTGCTTTTATTGCCCTTTGCTATAAAAGTGGGAAAGTATTTCAACTTAACTGCATTTTTAAAACTAAGTTGAAAAGAAAATCTAACAAGATTCAGTTTGAGAGCATAGTCAGTTGCAAAAAAAAATACGTTCATGTATGTGCAAAATTCAGTCATACATATGTCAAATTAACGTTTGTTAAGGAGATACTACGTTTACTTAGAGCTCTTAAGCAGATCTATTTTTCACTTCATAGACAGTGGCAATTGAGAAAAATATTATTGGACTGAAAGAACTACTTCCCATTTAAACTTGTGAATTGGGTACTTTTAAAAATAAATTGTTTAAGTATGTTATGAATGTCCGTAGGAAAGGAATAAAATTATGGAGAGAATAATTTTGGACATCTTACTGGGATTTTCCTCTGAATTGCTCTTACTATGCCATCTTAACTTCATCAGAATTCCATTGAAAGCTTTGATTATACTGCACTTCCTGTGAAATTAAAGCATAAATTGATATTGAAGGTCAAAGCCTAATGTTCCCATATCTCAAAAACCTTAAAGGATTCCTATCATTACAAAGAAACCAATCACACATATTTGTACTATTTACGAATGAATATTGAAATTAATAATTTATGATAGAATAATTTATTGCACAGCAAGTAGGTCTTTTATTTTAATATGATTAATACTTAGTTATAACATAAAAGTAACAGGCAAAGAACACACCATTAAACTAACTTATTGGATATACCAAAGTGTTGAAGGAAAAAAAGTCACTGAATTCCAGGAAAGGATCATTCTTCCTTTTGTGCGAAATTTCATTGTTACATGCTTCAGGAGAGAACTACATTTCATACATTCATTCTAATTAAAATCTCGTTTGCAGTTTTGGTTTCAAATTGATAAAATATAATACAATTTTTATAATTCATATTTTTGTGATAACATGTTTAATAAAAATAAGCATTTGAGTAGTAAACCTAACACTGGATTTCAAGTTGAAGTAATAGTAAATTTGAGCTGTAGCCTAAACTTACATTTGAACTTGGCCACCTTGTTTCCCAACTTTATAGACAGGTGTTTCGATGGAACACAATGTGGCAACAGAATTCTTCAGGTCAGAGGACTGAAAGTGCAACATTTACTATCTTATAGATGGCAACTATACAGAATGTTCAGGATCAAAAGCCTGAGGCAAACATACAATAATAGTTATAATTCTCAAATCGACCTTTCAGGATGATGTACATTCCTATGTGGTTAGATTATTTTTCAATGCAAGCATGTTATAATCATCTACTGATAGAAGTAAAATGTTCTCACCTTGAGAATATTGTATGTTGTATCCACAATTCACAATGTTTCCTGAGGATTATTTTCACATAACATGTCTAATAGGTGAGCTAGACAAACCAGAACTAATTCTTGAAATTAATAATCAAAATAAGCAAATTCATAATCTGTTTTATTATTGGCCACATCCAACGTTTATAATCTTTGTTAACGTTTTTCAGTAGCAACATGTTTCTTATTAGTTTGATAGATTTCTCCTAAGAATGAGATTACACTAAATCTCTTTCTCCACTTCTCTGCTATTCTCCAAAATGGCATTAAAAGTTATCTCCTTATGCAAACTTCTTAAGTGTCAAGTGTCCTAATGAATCCTGCTTTGATTCAGTATCAATCTGTGTCTGATTATATATTTTCAAAGTGTTTTCAAATAGTTTACTACACTAGAGGCTATATAAGACTACAAGATGTTGTTATTTTTGAAATCATTGCCAGTCAGTAGCAAGAAGCAAGAAATGTTTGGGATAATTTTAATTTTCTCTGACAATGTAAAACTCGTGATAGTAAACCAATAACCTTGTTCCATGTCATCTTTGATTTCCATTATTGTCATTCACTATTGCCTGTTTTACCCTATCACACAGAAGCCAAGTCTACTTCATTATGCTTAAAAATCATAATAAAAACTGAGTTGAAAGCAAATATTAAATTTTGTTGTATCAGGTATTGTATAATATTTGTAACTTCTGGTATATAGTTGGTGCACACAATCTTATGTTTAACTAATTTTGCAGGTGCTCTTGCATCACCCCAGCGGTTTCCAGCAGAACAAAAGCTACGTCTGTGGAGTGAGGTAATTGTAGCCAAACTGAATTTGAATGAAATCAATCAACTAAACCCAGTTTTATCAATGAAAATGTGGAAGCAAGGGGTAAAAAATAAATGCATTATGAGGCACACTGCAAGAAGTGAAAACTGTTGGTATGGAGGACATGATCATCTGGGAATTATGACCTACTGGATTTGCCAGATTGAAGAATCACATCTGTAACACATTTGTTTACAATTCTCAGACAATAAACAATGCCACAGATATGCCAACTCCATCTAGCACTTCTTAAGTTTTAGCAGCTAGAGAAAATCTTAGAGAAAATGTAAATGTTTTAAAAAATAATTATCATTTTACATTTTGTAAATGCAATCAACACACATCTTATGTATTGAATATTCTGAGAGATCAAGAGAAATTCAATAATCAGTGTAAATGTTACTGTTGTGCTTTATACATATCTTCCCATAATTTTGTATTTAGCAACAGTGCATTTACTTATCCAAGTTTTGTCGATGATTGAAAAATCCCACTGACAATCTGCACACTGTATGAGTAAAAATCATCAGAAAAATACAATCTATATAGATAAAATCCCATATATATTCATCAAAAGCATAAGAATCTCAAAATGAGTTATTTTACACCTTCATGTTAAATAAAATCCATGAAGGTTAGTTTGTTTTTCTAGTTGAGCATTCTTTGTATCTCTGTGGACCTCTTTTATTTTGACAGAGTCATAGAGGTTTACAGGACAGAAACAGGCCCTTCAGCTGACCAGGTGCTGACCAGGTTTCCTAAACTGAAATAGTCCCACTTAGAGGCCCACATCCCTCTAAACCTTTCCTCTCCATGTACCTGTCCAAATGTCTTCTACCACTTCCTCTGGCAGCTTGTTCCATATTTGTGAAAATGTTACCTCTCAGGTCCCTTTAAAATCTTTCTTGTCTCACCTTAAACCTGTGCCCTCTAGTTTTGAACTTCCCAACCCTGAGTAAAAGTCCTTGGCTATTCACCATATCTATGCCCCTCATGATTTTGTAAACCTCTGTAAGGTCACCCCTCAGCTCCCATGCTATGGTAAGATATTTTTATGATTTTGTGTACAGTATATTCAGGATCTAACGTTGCATAGATCCAAGTGGCTTCATCCTATTTCTCTTTCAAAAATTCAGTGCCCATTTCTTGTTGTAGTGCTTTGGAATGTTGCCGAGCTGAATTAAGAGAAGTCCTAGCAGAGGCATGCCTTATTTTCCAATGCTAATATCTGAACTATCTCTTTTAGATAGATGACCTGTGTTCTTCCTTTCTTTCTGCAGTTCCTCAGTCACAGGTGAGAACCAATGTGTCAGTCCAATCATGCTTGTAGAAGAGTTAACAAAACTGTTTCTGAAAAACTTTCCCTTTGCTTTTCCAGCCATCTGGTACACTGAAAGAACTGTGCTATATGGCCTTGACAATTCTGGAGTGGCATCAGGTAGTTGTTTCTTTATATCAATGCGGCAGGAATTTAGTGAAATGAAATGTTAGGAATTTGAACTTACTGCATATTTGCCATTCATGCTTTTGATGTTTCTAATTTTAGAAACAAGCGACGAAGAGGTCACTTAAATGGGCAATTAGGAAAAACAATTTATATAATTATACTTCTCTATCAGAAAGACCCCCACCAAATATCTGCAGACCCAGACTAATGCTATTTCCAGTTCTAAAATGTTGCGCCACTGGGAAGATTGTAAAACCGTAAGAAATAGGAACAGGAGTGGGCCATTCAACCCCTCGAGCCTGCTCTGCCATTTATTATGTCTATGGTTGTTCTGAGCTTCCTCACATCCACTTTCCTGGCCTTTCTCCATAACCCTTGATTCCCCTACTGACCAAGAATCTACCTCAGCTTTAAATATATACAAAGATTCTGCCGCCTACAGCTCTCTGTGGCAAGGGGTTCCAAAGACTCACAACCCTCTGAGAGAAGAAATTCCTCCTCATCTCAGTCATAAATTGGCACCCGTTTATCCTGAGACTATTCCCTCTGGTCCTAGACTCTCCCATGAAAGGAAATATCCTCTCTGCATTTAACCTGTCAAGACCTTTAAGAATCCTACATGTTTTAATGAAGTCATTTCCCATTCTTCTAAACTCCAGTGAGTAGAGTCCCAACCTATTTAGCCCTTGCTCATAAGACAATCCCTCCATACTGGGGATCCTTCTCTGAACTGCCTCCAATGTAATGAATCATTCCTTAAATGAGGGGACCAAAACTGTTCACAACACTTCAGTTATGGTCTCCCCATCACTTTGTACAATTGCAGTAAGACTTCCCTACTCTTATATGCCAACCCCCTTGAAATAAGGGCCAACGTTCCATTAGCCTTCCTGATTACGTGCTAGCTCTCTGTTTCATGCACAAGTACAGCCAACTCCCTTTATGCTGCAGCTTTCTGCAGATATTCTCCAATGAAATAATACTCTCTGCTTGAGTTCTCCCTTCCAAAATGAATAACATAATATTTTCCCACATTGTGCTCCATTTACCAACTTTTTGGCCGCTTACTGAAACCATCAATATCTCTATGTATACTGTTCGTAAACTGTGTTGCGTTTCTCTCACAACCTGTCTTTCCACCTATTTTTGCATCATCTGCAAATTTGGCTGCAGTACATTCGTTTCCTTCCTCCAAGTCATTAATATATATATTGTAAACAGCTGCACTGATCCCTGTAGAACTCCACTGGTTACAGGTTGCAAACCTAAAAAAGAATGCCTTATTCCCACTTTTTGTTTCCTGCCCATTAGTTAATTCTCTATCCATGCAATATATACTACCTTGAACATCATAGGCTCTTATGACTTAGCCTTTTGTGAGGTACCTTGTTAAATGCCTTCTGGAAGTCCAAATACAACACATCTACTAGTTCCCCTCTATCCACTCTGGGCGATACCTCTCAAAAAAATTCTAATAAATTAGACAGATATGATTTCCCTTTCATGAAGCCATGCTGACTCTGCTTGATTGGATTATGATTTTCTGAATGTTCTCCTTTTACTTCCTTAACAATTGATTTCAATATTCTTCCAACAATAGATGTTAGGCTAATCACCCTTAAGGACCCTTAAGGGCAAGAAGCACACCAGAATTAATTGGTCAGGAGTGGGAAGTGATGGGGTCTCCACCCATACCTTCCTGCTAGACTATACAATCCCCCTTCCAGTCTTCCTTCAGAGGAGCATTACATTCTGCCATTATGTCAATGCTAGTGGAGAAATATATTGTTTTGTGATGAATTAAGATAATGTATTAACATGTAAACATTTTAAAAATTTTAATTTGCTTTTATAGTACGTTTATATTTATATTGTGCTTTGAGATGGCCTGTGATTTAGTTGAAAATGCCAAAATACTAGAGGAGTATTCTGGAATTTTGCTTACTGATATTTGATGCAGAATTTTGCTTAGGCAGTGCAACTGTTTCAGTTGTGGTCCATTAGAGATTTGGTCATGCAATGTCATAGAGCCATAGAATCATACAGCATAGAAACAGGCCATTTAGCCAAACTCATCCATACCGACCAGGTTTCCTGAACTGAACTCGTCCCATTTGCCTACATTTGGCCAATATCCTTCTAAACCTTTCCTATTCCTGTACCTGTTAACATGTCTTTTAAATGTTGGAACTGTACCTGCCTCTACCACTTCCTCTGGCAGCTCGTTCCATACATGCACCATCCTCTGCATGAAACATTTGCTCCTCAGATCTCTTTTAAGTCCTTTCTCTCTCACCTTAAACTTTACACCCTTTTGTTTTGGACTCCCCACCCCTAGGGAAAACACCTTAACTATTCACCCTATCTATGCTTCTCATGATTTTATAAACCTCAATAAGGTCACCTCTCAGCCTCCCATGCTCCAGGAAAAAATGTCCCTGCCTATTCAGCCTCTCCTTATAACTCCCAGTCTCAGTAATATCCTTGTAAATCATTTCTGCACCCTTTCCAGTTTAATAACATCCTTCTGATAGCAGCGTGACCAGAATTGTATGCAGTACTCCAAAAGTGCCCTAACCAATGTCTTGTACAGCCGTAACATAGATTCATACAGCACAGAAAAGGCCCTTTGGCCCATCGAGTCTGCACCAATATAACTACCGCTAAAGATGTGCTAATCCCAATTTCCTGCACTTGTCCCTTAAATGTTACGGTTTTTGAAGAGCTCATCCAGATGTTTTTTAAAGGTTGTAAGTTTTCCAGTCTCCACCACCTTCCCAGGCAGTGCATTCTAGATTCTCACCATCTACTGAGTAAAAATGTTTTTTTTTCCCAAATCCCCTCTGAATCTCCTGCCCCTTACACTAAAACTATGCCCTCTCGGGATTGACCCCTCAACCAGAGGGAACAGCTGCTCTGTATTCACCATGTCCATACCCTCATAATCTTATACACCTTGATTATGTCCACCCTCAGTTTTCTCTGCTCTAAAGAAAATAATCGAAGCCTATCTAGTCTCTCCTTATAGCTCAGCTTCTCCATTTCAAGCAATATCCTGGTGAACCTCCTCTGTACCCACCTCTAGCACAATACTCCAGTTGTGGCCTGACCAACACTCTGTACAACTCCAACTTGCTTTAGACTCATTGCCATGACTGATGAAAGCAAGTGCCCCATCTGCTGCCTTAACTGTGCCTTAACTGCCAGTTTCAGAGATCCGTGAATAATTACCCAAAGATCCCTCTGTTCCTCTAAGCTACATGGTATCCTACCATTCATTAAATGTTCCGTCATCTTGTTTCTTCATCCAAAGTGCATCCCTTCACATTTATTAGGGTTAAATACCATCTGCCATTGGTCTGCCCATCTGACTAACCCATCTATACCTTCCTGTAGTGTACTTCTTTGCTATTAACCACTTTTACCGATCTTGGTGTTGTCTGCAAATTTGCTTAACATACCCCCCACATTTTCATCTATATCATTTACAAATATAACAAACAATAAAGGACCCAGTACTGATCCTTGTGGTACACTGCTGGTCATTCGAACAGCCTTCTACCACGACCTTTTGTGTCCTTTTACGGAGCCAGTTTCTGATCCATCTTACCAAGTTTCCCTCAATTCCATGTGCTTTAACTTTTTCAATAAGTCTCCCATGTGGAACCTTGTCAAAGGCTTTGCTAAAATCCATATAAACTACATCAGCTAAAATTCTCTCATCCTCACACTTGATCACATTTTCAAAAAATTCTAACAAATTTGTTAGGCATGACCTCCATCTGGCAATCCCTAATTAACTCTTGCCTTTCCAAGTGAGTATTAATTCGTTCTTTCTCCAATAATTTCCCTGCCAGTGATGTGAGACTTACCGGCCTGTAATTTCCTGGTTCATTTCCACCACCCTTCTTGAAAAGTGGAACCACATTAGCCATCCTCAAGACTTCTGGCCCTTCTCCCATGGCCAGACAGAAATTAACATGATGTCCCAACTCCTCTACTCAATGCTCTGACCGATGAAGGCAAACATGCCAAATATCTTCTTCACCATCCTGTCTACCTACTATGCAGGTTAGGTAGTTTGGTCACGCTAAATTGCCTATATCATTCAGGGATATGCTGGCTAGGTGGATTAGCCATGATAAATGCAGGCGTACAGGGATAGGATAGTGGGGTGGGTCCGGGTAGGTTGCTCTTCGGAGGGTCAGTATGGACTTGGTGGGCCAAATGGCCTTCTTCCACACTGTAGATATTCTATGATTGTTGGTAGGTGAATGATGTCAGTGTGATGAATTGAGAAGTGAACGAGACTAGTGGTGCAGTTGGTAGGATATGGCATTTGAAGGTGGTTTGACTGACCTTGAATAATTGTGTGAAGCTCATTGGACTTCGGCATGTCATCACCCCCTAAGGGCTACGTTGCTGACATTGCCTTCTGGTGGACCTCCTGACTCGCTGTGGAAATAAGACCTCCTCTCTATTTCTATTGAAACGTAGCACTAAGGCTTCCAGTGGTACGTCAAAGAATCTTGGAACCTCCTGTCTGCCGTGATGGGCTACTGCTGTCTCTTTTCCAGCTCCAAGTCATTGGTGTGGTGCACTCCAGCACTTGCTGTATCCAAAGCATTCTATCACTTTAAGAGTTGGAACTTTGATTTGGGTAGACCAGTATAGCTTGAATCTGTGCTTGCCTTTCACAATTTTATATCCTCTACCTAAGTGTTGAGCCAAACAGCTGTATGTTTAGTACTGGCTGGAAGTTGCATTCATGAAAATGGGCAGGAACCACAGATTCTGCCTGCTGCTTACATTGGAATGTCAGGCAGGGGTTACCTCCAGCTGTTTTCAGGCCTCATCCAATCTTTCTACCCATGTAGGAAGACCCTTCTGAGGAAGGGTCACCGGATCCGAAATGTTAACTCTGTTTTTTTCTTCAAAGATGCTGCCAGACCTGCTGAGCTTCTCCAGCAACTTTGTTTTTGTTTCTACCCATGTGTTACTTTTTACTGTTTTGCTTTATACATTGCAAATTTAAGTATAAATGGAGGTCCAAAGTTAATGCCAGGCAATCTATTTACAGGATTTAGAAGACAAGGGTGAAGACAAAAGGGTAAGCATTATAAATTGCTGACTTTAAAACAGAGTAAGAATATATGAGGAGTCTTAAGTAATTAATGTATTTGACAATAAAATACTTCTCCATTTTTTTGTGCAGTTCTTATTTCATTATTCTAAGACCCATGACACAGGCAACTCTAATTTTATGGTAAGTGATGTGGAGAACATTATAAACTGTCTGGTAAGATTGTGTTAAAGCCTATCTTTCACTCCACTCCAGACATTAACTTCCAAATTAGTGATCATGAAACCACATTAAACCATACCACCAAAGCTTAAGGTTATTATTTTTCTATTTCTTGCAGAAGCTATAGTGACTACATTATTATAGCTTTGCTAGCTCAATCGGTGAGAGGAGATTTGATATTGCTTCCTAGAAAGCCTAACTGCAATTCCAGAAGAACATAACATTAACTCAGCATTCTGCAGCCTCCGAAGATGTCAGCTTTTAATTACTTCATCACAATAATGAATATTGAATGTGGGAACACATATAATTAAAACACCAGAAACTAATTATATTCAGACAAGCCCTGAGACTCTTTTTTATTATTTTTCTTGAGGCAATAGTCTTGTGACAACACTTATCACAATGAGGTCCAGCTTCTTTACTTCAGGGATTGCCTTAGACCCAGTCGCGGTTATTGCTTGAATCTGTGCTGTTGGGACTGCTGGCCAATGTTGACAGCCCACTGAGCATTAAATAGCTGCAGGGGAGCTGGTATTTGCAAGGATGCATTCCCTGAAAAATTTGCACATGGAGGTACAGTAAATCCCGTTACCTGAAAAGTCCGACAATGTGTGTTTATAAGGTTCATTGTCTTACTTTGCAAATGTCAGAAATATAAAAGGAGTCATATTACATTTGCTTCCACTGACTTGAAGTTAGGAATTTACAAGCATCTGTCAATCTCTAAATGTTGTCAAGATTTGCATATTTGCCACAATTAATTATTGTGGTATTAGAGACAACAGGTGAGAAATTGGGCACATTATACCTGTTTTTTTTGTTCCTACATGTGACCATCAAGCTTAGGAATGATGCTGCTGGCATAGTCTCAGAGCTGTAGGATGAATTGTGTTGGACATCTTTGCCATGATGACAGAGTCTGAGCTTCAGCATCCAGTCATCAGTTAACTGTAGCGATGTGATGAAGTATACAACATCAGCAATGATCCACAAGTGTGCAAACGGCATTAGCTACTATTTCAATGCTGATTAAAATGGGATTTAGGTTGAGTGCAAAACTCTGTTCTAGGTTGATAATGGAATTCTCCTCAATAGTGATTGCAAGTTTTCTGTCAGGTTTCCTAATGTATCACCTATTTATTTTAACCCATACCCATCAATGTTCTACTGAGGATTATTTCATCTAAGTTTGTATCGTAGTCTTCTGCAGCAGAAGTTTTATGCAGCATGATCCTCCAGCACCTGAACTGAATCCTCTGGCTGGCTATAGCTACTGTACAATCACATGTTGATCTGTTCCTTTGTTCTATTCAGATACGTTCAGTGTCAATATCTGAGCTGGCTGTGTGTACACAGTGTGTGTGATGTAGCCTAAGAGATGAAGAAGGAGTGGGAAAAGGAAAGAATTATGTGCAAACCTATGTCTGAGGAAACCATCTTTGGTAGTTTCAGCCCTGCCATTGCCCATTCCCTAATTATTAGGCATTCTGTTAATAGTCAGCGCCATCGCTTTCATTGACCATTAGGACCTGCAGGTGTACTTGTTCCCTCCAGTTAGCTCCCGCTGCTTCCAGCAGTGTGTGACCTTCTGCTCTGAAAGAAAGCAAAGTGTATGTGGATGCTACTATTATTGTTGAACAGCTGGTTGTGTTTGCAATCTGTGAACCGTGGGTGTCACGTTTCCAGCAATTCTAAATGTGTTAGGATGGTTTGAAGTAATGTCAGTTATGATGGATAGAAAGCATTGGTAACTGAGTGGTGGGGCTGATTTTTTTTTGTCAGGAACTGACACTGGTGGTGCAGTTGGCTGGATATGACATTTAAATTCTTGTGACATTGCATCCAGCTCCTAACCATTGACCTGCACAGGTTTGACTGTTTGTTTCAAGGGCCTTCTTCCCCTTTGCAGATAGAAGATGGCTCTCTTGCTTTTGACATTCACCACCAAAATCTCCAAATGTAGTTTCAAGGAACCTTGGAACCTGTTTCCTTACCTGTTGCATCATCCCCGACTCTTTCCTGGGTGTGATTCTTTTCACCATGATTTCCAGCATGTACTCCAGCCACATTGCACTTTCTCATTAAATGGCGCAGGTTAGCTTTAAACCTGTGCTGCTGTCACAATACTAGTCCCTTGCTGAAGTGTCCAGTTACCGAACAACATGGTTATGCTGGCTGGATGCTGAAATCATGGAAATGACAAGGCAGCTCAGACTTTTGTACTGCAAATGTTGCAACTAACAGCATGAGTTAACTGTGGATTATGTTCCCCATGCTTGTTTTCAGAAAGTATCCAAATTAACCTAAGATGCAATTGTGCTTAATTCTAATTCATCTATTTCATGGTAGTGATATTTTGTCCATTATTGTCAACAATCACAAATTATGGTTCTTCACCAATTTGTGTAATTTGTGAATTCAATTCTCATGAAGAATTATTCCCCACACGTGCTATCATATTACCCGGTATCAATCTATAAATCTTCTCTGAGCCACCTCCAGTGCATTTACATCCATCCTTAAAGAAGGAGACTGAAAGCGCACACAGCGTTCAAGATATTGTTTCACTAATTGCCTATATAACTGAATATACCATCCTTACTCTTATGTTCAATTCCTCTCATGATAAAGATACCTTTCCATTAGTCATTGTAATTACTTGGTAACTTGCTAAATTACTAAATTTACATGACTCAAGCACTAGAACAATTAGATCCCTGTACACCTTGGGATTCTTCTGTTATTGTCTATTTAAGTAACAGTCTGTATTTTCATTCTTCCTGCCAAAGGGGCTGGTGTAGCACTTCCTGCGGTTGCAGGGAAAAGTGCTGGGTGTGGTGGGGCTGGAGGGGAGTGTGGAGCGGACAAGGGAGTCACGGAGAGAGTGGTCCCTCCGGAAAGCAGATAAGGATGGGGAGGGAAAAATGTCTTTGGTGGTGGGGTTGGATTGCAGATGGCGGAAGTGTCGGAGGATGATGCGTTGGATGATCCTGCCCCTACACCTCCACCCTCACCCCCATCCCAGGCCCCAAGAAGACTTTCCACATCAAGCAGATGTTCACCTGCACATCTGCTAATGTGGTATACTGCATCCGCTGTTCCCGTTGTGGCCTCCTCTACATCGGGGAAACCAAGCGGAGCCTTGGGGACTGCTTTGCAGAACACCTACGCTCGGTTCCCACTAAACAACTGCGCCTCCCAGTCGCAAACCATTTCAACTCCCCCTCCCATTCTGCAAATGACATGTCCATCCTGGGCCTCCTGCAGTGCCACAACGATGCTACCCGAAGGTTGCAGGAACAGCAACTCATATTCCGCTTGGGAACCCTGCCGCCCAATGATATCAATGTGGACTTCACAAGCTTCAAAATCTCCCCTTCCCCTACCGCATCCCAAAACCAGCCCAGCTTGTCCTCGCCTCCCTGACCTGTCCTTCCTCCCACCTATCCCCTCCTCCCACCTCAAGCCCCACCCCCATCTCCTACCTACTAACCTCATCCCAACCCCTTGACCTGTCCGTCCTCCCTGGACTGACCTATCGCCTCCTATCTCCCCACCTACACTCACTTTTACTGGCTCCATCCCCACCTCTTTGACCTGTCTGTCTCCTCTCCACCTATCTTCTCCTCTATCCATCTTCTATCCGCCTCCCCCTCTCTCCCTATTTGTTTCAGAATCCCTTTCCCCTCCCCCATTTCTGAAGAAGGGTCTAGGCCCGAAACGTCAGCCTTCCTGCTCCTCTGATGCTGCTTGGCCTGCTGTGTTCATCCAGCTCTACACCTTGTTATCTCAGATTCTCCAGCATCTGCAGTTCCTACTATCTCTTCATCTCAATAGATCCTCTGCTTTTAAGCAACTGCTATTCCTCAAGATTCTGGCCCTTGCACCATCACAACCAAAAATGCATTGATTCCAGGACTGATCATGGCTTTTGACCCCCAATATGGTATCATTATCTGGGGCAACTCAGAAACCAGCAGGATAATCACCTTGTGAGATTAGAAATGGCCCTGCTACAATAAGACACTCAATGCACCCAGTAAACATTCACTTCTTGCATTCCTTGCGCATCACTACTGCTCTCAGATTTAGAGATGGACAATAAATGTGAGCATTGCTAACAATACCTGCATTCCTGAATATTTCTAAAAAATACTTTTCAAAAGCCTGATTGGTTTTAAATGATTTATGGTTCACTTGACCACCTAACAGCACATCCCAAGACATGGTATTTCCTTGACAAGTCAACTGGTCCGCTGCAGACAGAATAATGCCCTATAATGCTGATATTGGATGGTATGTAATGTGTTCACAGAGGAGGCTTTTATATATATCTTCTGTCTTTTACAGTGTGTTGGGGATAAAACAAATATCATATAAGCATCTGAAAAATATTACTTGATCACTCGGAGGCCCTCTTCTGTTCAAGTATGGCACTCATCCTTAGAGGTGTCAAATAGCTTCTACTTAGCATTTTCCTAGGGGCAGGAGAGATTATATAATTTTTCCATGTCTTGAAGTGAATATACCCTCCTTTATTTAAGATTGTATAGCATAAGTAAGCATAGAAGTAAACAGGAATGAAACAAAAACAAAATGTTGCAGTTACTGGAAATTAGAACTAAAAATGGGAAGTATTGTCAGTAGTTAGCAGATCAGGTAACATCTGTGGAAGAGAAAGTGAAGTTTACCTTTCAGGTTAAAGAGCTTTTATCAAAACTGGAAAAAATAGAGCTGCAACAGATTTTAAGCAGCACTAAATCAGGGAAAGGCAAGGGGTTGGAAAGGAGGCAAATAACAAAGGTACAGTATCCAATAGGGCTTAATACTTAATACAAATGATAAAAGGGTTGATGGTGCCAGTCAATGGACAAGTAAATACATAAAAGATGTGTCCAGAGGTAGCATAAATGATAATGTCAGCATCATTATAAACAGTTGTACAATAAAATGGGGGAAGTGGCTATGATTTAAAATGTTTTGAAACAATTGTTGAATCTGGAAAGCTGTAAAGTGCCTAAACAAAAAAAAGGGCAGTTACTTAAGTCAACTCTTAGCTTCACTGAAACAATGTAAAAGATTGGGGACAAAGAGGTCAGAATGGGAGTGGAGTCGAGAATTAAGCTGGTTGTTATGTATGCAGACCTAACGGAAGTGTTCCACAGAATGAGCACCCAACCTGTATTTGTCTCCCAACTTGCAGGAAACTGCATTATGAGTAGCAAATACAGTACACTAAAGTCAAAGAAGTACAAGTATTTGATTAAAAGCAAAATACTGCCAATGCTGGAAATCTGAAACAAATACAGAATGCTAGAGCAACTCAGCGGATCTGGCAGCATTTATAGAGAAAGAAACAGAGTTAATGTTTCGAGTCCAGTATGACTGTTCTCCATAACTGAAGAACTGAGTTTCTTCAGCATTCTCTGTGATTGTTACAAGTATTTGATATTTTACCTGAAGGTATTCTCTGGGGCTGTGTGCAGTGAGAAAGGATGACATAAGCTGTAGTTATTTGATCTCTTGTGTTAGACAAAGAGGAACTATGAGAAAGAGAGTGTGGTGTGAGGTGATTGAAGCATGGATCAGGGTGTTTGGAAGAAACTCTGAACAGATGATATGAGTCTTCTCTAATCTTTGAAATATCAATTTAAGAATGTATTAAATTTTTGGTATTGCATTCTCATTGTATGTCTCACTTTAAAAGAAACCTCTGCTGCTTGTCAGTAACAGATTTACAATCTGCAGATTTTTATGCAAGTGACTTTGCAGCAAGAATCATTTCAGCCTGTCTACTCTGTTCTGGTCCACATCATGTCAACATGATTTTCTTTGAAAATGTACTGTTGTGTCACGTGATCAGTTGATCGTTGTTCCTCATATGTCCTTGTTCATGTCCTCTCAGTCCTCTGTCCTGCACCCCTTGCTGCAACTTGTCCCTGAGCTTCATGAGCGAAGAATGAAGAAAGGCAGAGGTGATGTACGTAACTCTTCAGTAATCCTGCCAGCACTCTCTTGTGACATTTAACCTTTGTTTATTTTTGCTTGACCCAATGAACAGCTGTAAGTGTGAACAGGTTGGCATCAAATGATGAAGCCATTGTCAGGCAGTTTCTAATTTGGTGAATACAGACAAACTAGTATTTGCCCTACATTATCCTTTATAAGTTTAAGAGGTCCAATAGTCAATTTTCAGACTTTGTGCTCAAAAATTATTCTGTTTTTTAACTTTAAGATCATACTTATTCTTCAACCTTACTTTCATACTCTTATTAAAGATGATCTCTCAGCTATGGTTAAACTCCAATTGGTACATTTGTGTCTAGGTAGTTCTTTATGAGTTAAATGATTTGATAATACTAAACTTTTCTGACATGGAGTGCTAAGCATGATAGGGCTCTCTCAGTGGGAGTTTGACAGAGAAAGTTCGCGCCTGCTGTATCTGATTTTCCAATTATCATTTAAAGTAGATGAAGAGCTAAAGGTTGCGTATGGCTACAATTTCCTAACCAATATTCTCTGCAAGCATCACACCTCCCTGAAAAGGATCCAATCAAGCTGTCCACTTTTTACTATCAACAGATATAAATGTCCAAATAGTTAAAAAAAAATTTCTTTGAAGAAAGGTTCTACAAATTTCTCTAAGCTGAGATATTACTTAGATGAATCTGTGAGCTAAAGAAATATCTGATATCAATATTGCTTTCTCTCAATGAAGCACTTTGTGAAGTAGAATCCCTACAATGCAGATAGAGGCCACTTGGCCGATCGAGTCTGCACCAACCCTCCAAACAGCATTCCACCCTATCCCTCTAACCCTGCATTTCCCATGGCTAATCCACCTGGCCTACACCTCCTTAAACACCAAGGGGCAATTCCCCATGACCAATCCACCTGAACTGCACACCTTTGAACTGTGGCACCTGTGCCACCCCAGATATCCTGAAGTTGCAAAAGGCATTAGATAAATGCAAGATTGTTCTTTTCATCTGTCTTCTAGTACACAAAAGGAGTGAGACTTTGTAACTTAGTGAGATGTGACAGTTAAGTACATTTAATAACTGCTTTTACTATAGTTAGGAATTAAAGACGGGATAATTGATTAATTCCTTCAAGTCCCAGTTATGACATATTTTATTATCTTCTCCTGCAGTTTGGGACACTACGAAATAATATATTGATAATGGATAAGTATAGAGCAATACACTATTAAATTATTTTTTGTCTGACTTATATTAAATTTCTCACATACCATTAAAGTGCTGACTCACTTAACTACTACAGCACATTAATGCTGCATTAAAGATTTCATCTTGAAAGTACTTTGTAGAAAATTCAATTAGATTTATTTGTTTAGGAAATGTTGCAACTAAACTGTGACATTTTGTATTAAGCACTTACATATGCAAAGAATTTAGGATTTTTACTTTCCAGTCTTTCATAAATATTTCCATGACTAGATGCTAAAGCTAGACCCCAATCATACAGGATGTGGTATCGACCTTATGAGATATCGAACATGGACCTCAAGAGAATATCAAGTACAGACTCAACATTAATAATAGAGGCATGGTCGTAATCTTTTTCTCAATAATTTCCTACTGGTCACTAGCGGGGGATAATCAATGGATAAGTTCTAATCACTAACTTTGGTGCAGAGTATTACTATCATACATTTCACAGGAGAAACAAGTCTAAGAGAGATACAGTGCCATTTTAACCATTGCCTGCAATAAAGCACAACTGATTGAAAATGCACAAGTTGTTCATATTATGGATTAATTCAATTCTTTTTGTTCTTGCTTTAGGAAGAATTTCAAGGACCAGGTGGAATTCAAAGTCGAGGTTATTTTATGTTTAGGGTATGTATCAAAATCTGTAAACATTGACTGATACAACAATCCTGCAAATCTCTCAACATTTGCATCCAAATTTAGATAAATTAAAGCACTGGATTGTGCTCAGTGGGGGAGATGCATTGGAATGGAGCATGGGCTGAAAACAATGTTATAATTTGGCAACATAATTTTATTGATTCATCAGAACTTTCAATGAAAAAATGTGCAATAACATGTGATCAAAGTATATGCACAATAGGTTTTCTGATAATTCTGATATAAAAGTTCTTTTTATTGATATAATTCATCAAAGTTTGAGTCAATGGTGTATATTAGTGGACTCTTAACATACAGACTATTGAGTTGAGTCTGGCTGTCTTCAACTAACACAGTGACAGGGAGTCTCAGGGGTACTATGGTTACAATTTGCTATAGACAATTTATTATTTGTTCTATATACTTTTTCTAGCCACGTAATGGAAGAAGATCGTCTAGTTCTCGTTAACAGGTACTTTTCCTCAAATCAGTAATCTAATCTCAGGTATTCGAATGATAGTTACAAAGTGATCATTCAAATCATTTACAAACTTTATTTGTCACGATCGAGTTATTCTGTTTTCTTTATTGTCATTTTCTAGTGCAGATCAAAAATTTATTTCCGTAATTCAGGATATATATATTGTTTACACTCTTAGCTTTGTTTTTCTGTTGGCGATAAAATGTAATGTTGATTTCTGTTTCTGAATTCATAGCAACTTCTAGTTGCTTGATAATTGATATTGTGCTGTGTCTAACTTGGGATCATTGGTCCATTACATTGAATGATAGAAAATATTTCAGTTCCTTCTGCTATCTATTGGCAAGGCTTTTATGGGAATAGGTTGACTTTGTATTAAAGTGGGACGTGGGCATTGCTGGCTAGCCAGCATTTATTGTCCGTCCCTCGCTGCCTCCGAGAAGATGGTAGAGAGCTGCCTTCTTGAACCCTTGCAGTCTTGTGCTGTATGTAGACCCACAATTCCCTTAGGAGGCAAATTCCCTGGGTGAATCTTGCTGTTGCTTTATAGCCCTCCTGATGTTTATTTCCCTTCTTGGGGACATAAAAATTGTGACCAATGTTAAACAGGTTGCCTATTCACTACCATCCTTTTAAAATGCATTACCAAGTAAAATGTACCACCAATCTCTTTCAAAATGCTTGCATCTAAAACTACCCTTAATTTTTTGCCTTTTCACATCCCTAAATATGACTTCTGCCCTGCTTATTTCACTCCTCGGAATTTTTAAAATATTTGTTCACAACTACTTCACTCTTTGTTAAGATATTTCTTTCCACATTTACCTTAGTTATTCTACTCATATATTATCTCTTGTTTCTCACTTTTTTACAACAAGAAAACTAATGAATGGTGCACTTTATACCTGGAAGACTGGAATACAAGGACACGGGAGTTACGCTGCAGTTATACAAAATCCCATTTAGACTCGACTTTGCAGTATTGTTAGCAGATCTGGGCACCACATCTTAGGAAGGATATATTGGTCTTGGAGAGAGTACAATGTAGATTTACAAGAATAGTACTTGGACTTCAGGTGTTAAGTTATGAGAAGAGATTACACAAACTAGGTCTGCTTTCTCGAGAACTTGGAAAGTTAATGAGTGATCTGATCAAAATTTTCAGGATATTAAGGGGACAAGATGGGGTAAATAAAGGTAAATTATTTCCACTGGTGGGGATTCGAAAACTGGGTTTCATTGTTTGAGAACTAGGGCCAGACTATTAGGAAAGTTGTTGGGAAGCACTTCTATACAAAAAATGTGGTAGATGTTTCAAAGTCTCTTGCACAAATGGCAGTGGATGCTGGATCAGTTATTCACTTTAGATCTGAGATAGATAAATTTTCTAAAGCAAAGGAAATATGGGATATGGGCCAGGTATATGGGGTTAGGCCACAGAGCAGCCTTGATCTTACGGAATGGTGAAACAGGCTGATGGACTGTATGGCCTACTCCTGTTCCTATATTCCACTTCATTTTATGCAGATGCCCCACTTAAGCACTAAACTGAACATTTAGAACAGTGGACAGGTAAAAACCTCTTTGTATAGAGAACTGGACGCTGTGAATTTTAATTTTATTGATTCTGGTGTCTGACGAGAATGTCATATAGAGCAAGAATATCAAACTTATATTCCTTTCCTATGCACCTAAAGAATAAGATCAAAAAAAGCCGATGAAGTAGGAACAGAGATAGATTATTGATCCTGCTCTGCCATTGAATAAAAGTGTGGCCTTGACTCTACTTGGCTGCTTGCCACAAATCTTAAACTTCTTAATCATCAAAAATCTATCCAACTCAGTACTGAATATAAAATCAGGAAATTGATGGAAAAACTCAGCAAGTCTGGCAGATATTCTTGAAGAAGGGAAACTGGACTCAAAACATGAACTCTGCATTCTCTCCACAGATGCTGCCAGACCTTCTGAGTCTTTCCAGCAAGTTTTGATTTTATTTCAGATTTCCAGCATCTACAGTTCTTTGACTTTTTTTGTTCAGCCTTGAGTATATTCAGTGATCTAACCTCCATTGCTGGCTAGAGAGAAATTCTCAAAACACTTCTCATCATCTCAGCTTTAAATGAGAGGCCCCTTATTTTTAAAATGTGACACCATGTTCTAGACTCCCCATGAGAAGATCTTGTTAGTTTTCTTTTCAAGCTCTCCTCTTAATCTTATATTTTTAATAGGGTACCTCCTATTTGTCTAAACTTGAATAAGCATGGCCCATCCTGCTCAAACTTTCCTCAGAAGATACTCCTTTAAACCCCTACACTTTCCTAATACCCAATTATTTCCATGATTAGTGCTAAAGAATTTGGAGTCTTTGTGTTTACAGCAGGCAAAAGCATGCAACACGAATTTAAGCAAAGTGGGAATATGCAGCTTCAGGCCTCTCAAATGACTTATAGAATCTGAAAGCAAAAGCATGCACCAGAAATGTAGCCTATGCCTATTTTAATCATTGTGTAAGGAAACGCAGCAAAATCAAAGGATCATATAAGTTAAGAGATAACAAGGTGTAAAGCTGGATAAACACAGCAGGCCAAGCAGCATCAGAGGAGCAGGAAAGCTGATGTTTCGGGTCTGGACCCTTCTTCAGAATTGGGGGAGGGGAAGGGGATTCTGAAATAAATAGAGAGAGAGGGGGAGGCGGATGGAAGATGGATAAAGAAGCAGATAGGTGGAGAGGAGATGGACAGATCAAAGAGGTGGGGATGGAGCCAGTAAAGGTGAGTGTAGGTGGGGAGTTAGCGGGCGGATTGGTCAGTCCAGGGAAGACGGACAGGTCAAAGAGGCGGGAATGAGGCTGGAAGGTAGGAGGTGGGGGTGGGTGTTGAGGTGGGAGGAGTGGATAGGTGGGAGAAAGGACGGACAGGTTAGGGAGGCAGGGAGGAGTTGGGCCGGTTTTGGGATGCGGTCGGGGGCAGGGAGATTTTGAAGCTTGTGAAGTCCACATTGATACCATTGGGCTGCAGGGTTCCCAAGCGAAATATGAGGTGCTGTTCCTGCAACCTCCGGGTGAATTGTTGTGGCACTGGAGGAGGCCCAGGATGGACATGTCGTCCAAGGAGTGGGAGGGGGAGTTGAAATGGTTCACGACTGGGAGGTGCAGTCGTTTGTCACGAACCGAGTGTAGGTGTTCCACAAAGCAGTCTCCAAGCCTCCGCTTGGATGTCAGTATGGCGTACTAACCTCTACATCGCCGAGGCCAGGCGCCAGCTCTCTGACACCTCCTCCTACCACCCCCTTGATCATGACCCCACCCCCGACCACCAAAACATCATCTCCCAGACCATCCACAACCTCATCACTTCAGGTGACCTCCTACCCACAGCCTCCAACCTCATCGTTCCCCAACCCCGCACCGCCCATTTCTATCTCCTTCCCAAAATCCACAAACCTGACTGCCCTGGTCGACCCATTGTCTCCGCCTGCTCCTGCCCCACCGAACTTATCTCCACTTATCTCAACTCCATTTTCTCCCCACTGGTCCAGGAACTCCCCATCTATGTCTGTGATACCACCCACGCCTTCCACCTCCTCCAAAACTTCCGATTCCCTGGTACCCAACACCTCATCTTCACCATGGACGTGTAGTCCCTATATACTTGCATTCCCCATGCAGATGGCCTAAAGGCCCTCCGCTTCTTCCTGTCCCGCAGGCCCGACCAGTCCCCCTCCACTGACACCCTTGTTCACTTAGCTGAACTCGTCCTCGCCCTTAACAACTTCTCCTTCAATTCCTCCCACTTCCTACAGACAAAGGGGGTGGCCACGGGTACCCGCATGGGCCCAAGCTATGCCTGCCTCTTTGTAGGTTACGTGGAACAATCCCTCTTCCGAAGTTACACTGGCCCTATCTCCCACCTCTTCCTCCGTTATATCGATGACCGTATCGGCGCCGCCTCGTGTTCCCACAAGGAGTTCGAATAGTTCATTCACTTCACTAATACCTTCCACCCCAATCTTAAGTTTACCTGGACCATCTCCGATACCACTCTCTCCTTCCTGAGCCTCTCTGTTTCCATCTCTGGCAACCACCCGGAAACCGATATCCATTTCAAGCCTACCGACTCCCACAGCTACCTAGAGTACACCTCCTCTCACCCACCTTCCTGTAAAAATGCCATCCCCTATTCCCAATTCCTTTGCCTCTGCCGCATCTGCTCCCGAGATGAGGCATTCCACTCCGGGACATCCCGGATGTCCTCATTTTTCAAGGAACACAACTTCCCCTCCACAGTGGTCGAAAACGCCCTCAACCATGTCTCTTGTGTTTCCCGCAACTCATCCCTCACACCCCCTCCCCGCAATAACAACAAAAACAGAATCCCCCTCGTCCTCACGTACCACCCCACCAACCTCCGGATCCAACGCATCATCCTCCGGCACTTCTGCCACCTGCAATCTGACCCCACTACCAAGGACATTTTTCTCTCCGCAACCTTATCCGCCTTCCGGGGGGACCACTCTCTCTGTGACTCCCTTGCTGACTTCACACTCCCCACCACACCCAGCACTTTTCCCTGCAACCGTAGGAAGTGCTACACCTGCCCCTACACATTCCCCCTCAATCCCATCCCAGACCCTAAGAAAATCTTTCACATCAACCAGATGTTCATCTGCACATCTGCTAATGTGGTATACTGTATCCGCTGTTCCCGATGTGGCCACCTCTACATCGGGGAAACCAAGCAGAGGCTTGGAGATTACTTTGTGGAACACCTACGCTCGGTTCGCGACAAACAACTGCACCTCCCAGTCGCGAACCATTTCAACTCCCCCTCCCACTCCTTGGACGACATGTCCATCCTGGCCCTCCTCCAGTGCCACAACGATGCCACCTGAAGGTTGCAGGAACTGCATCTCATATTTCGCTTGGGAACCCTGCAGCCCAATGGTATCAATGTGGACTTCACAAGCTTCAAAATGTCCCTACCCCCGAC